TTCTGTAAATAAAGTTGAGATAAAGTTTTAATTAATCAAAACTGAGATAATAAACAGGTACTATGGATCATCAGTACAGGTATTTAATACTTAAAACTCTGCTTTTAATAAAAAACTACAACACCTGTGAAATAAGCAACAGTGTGAAAACAAGGCTACGTAGGCTACATGTGGGAACTGTATTTATCCTGGGCTTTCTGCCTTAAGCAGGTGAAAGAGAAAAATGGGTGACACTTTATTGAGAGAAGGCAGATGACCTTTTGAAATTTGAGTGACATTTGGTGAGGCCAAACATTTGTCTCTCTGGCATTTTTTTTCAGCAAGAAAAATAATGCAAGTAAAATTTCTTTTAAACAAACCTGCAAACCCCACTGTTCTGTGCTTTCCCCCCCTCAATTATATTTCTTGCATTCTATGCACCAAGATCTTTCCCCAGAGATGTAGAATGAAAATTGGATGAGTACAGCTCTAGGATGTAAAACCCACCTAGCACTGTGATTAGTCCACTTCATTTTGATGTGAACTTCTGCTTTCTCTGCAGTCTAAATGAGCAAGTCATTTGAATTCTTCTGTGGTTTTAATTACAGCAACAACTGCAGTGAGGTAGTACAAATGCCAAACTGCTTGCCCTTGCTTCTTAGGCTATGCTGTCTTGTTTTTTCCATTCTAACTTTGCTTCCATGGTAGTTTCAATGCAGTTCAAATTTTAGATGGTAGGAACATCTGTGGGTCTGATTGTTGGGTTTTGGGATTTTTTGTTTGTTTGTTTTTTTTAAGCATGTGTTTTTTCTTAAAGCTCACTGGCTTGGCCAGTGTCATTAATCCCTGATGGTGGGGGAGCTTCTGTCCTGTGGGAATAGGGCTTATTAGGAATATGAGGAGGGGGAAAACTGACTGGTGGAGGTGCCATGCGGCACCATTGTTATGGTGCTTTTCATAATAAAGTTTCTACAGTTTTGGTTAAAGATGAGCTTATTTCTGGTTCTAGAAAAGAATACATATTCTGCATTCTGCTGTTGTCTCTTCCAGTCATGAGTCAGCTGTGGTGGTTACCATTCTGTCAGTACCTGCATTCTTGGACATTTTGCTCCCTACATGAGTCTCTGGAAACCACATGTGATAATTGAGTAGCTGAAGTCTGAAAATTAGGCAAGCAATGCAGAGACAGAATGTGGATGTTCTTACACACCTGCACACACGCTTCTTTTGGTTTACTTTGTCCGAGAAATGTTTTTTCTTACACCGGAAAGGAAGAATATACAGTTATTTAGCTATGGTAGGATGCATCTCATCCAGGAACACAGACTCTCCCTGAGGGCTCTATGGGAGATGCTGAAGCTTGTGTGAAATAGAAGCTGATGTTTTTGATAATCCTGCATAAGAAATGATGGATAAATTTGTGAGGGTAAGAATGTGGCAAAACTGAAAGAAAATCTACTGCTTATACATAACCAAAGCATTCCAGCATGTTTGAGTCCTAAAGTTTAATTCCAAGGCATCTCATTTTCTTGAATTGCACTTACATGACAGACATTCTGCTTTTAAGGACAAAAGAAATAATGACATTTAATATCTCTAATTTACAGTTGTATCATTACACAAGCAATTTTCTGTTTTAATTCAACAACACACATCTTTTGTCAATCATGTAGAACAGAGATAATTGACTGTAGCAGGAATCATGCTACCATTAGGTAATTATTTGAAGTCTTTTAAGTGCAAATGCTTGAAATGTCTCTTATGATTTTGTCAGTAGAACCAAGTCAGTCTGAATAGTTGCATAATTTGTTTATTCTCTAATCCTGATTTTGATCAATATTAGCATTGTTTTGCAAATAACTTTCTTCAAAATAGAATATCTTCCTTTTATATCCTAATGACAGATTGCCAAAGTTTGTAGGTGAGGGGCTAAGTGGGTGACCTTTGTGCTTTTTGTACTTCCTTGAGGAAGCATTATTTCCTTGAAAATCAGATGTAGCAATCTTGGTGTGCACATCAGGTGGTTCTGATGAAAACAAAAAAACAATGAAGAGGTGCAGAACATGCTTTCACGAAGTGGGAAGTTTTAGATTCTGAAATTACTTTGCTGGTAAGATGGCTGCCAAAATGTCTTAGCATGGCATGCTTTGGTATCACCTTTATTCAAAACATTTGGAATTCTTCCTGTTGGAGGTGAGTGCATAATGAAAATCAAATTGAAGTGAATAAAAATGCACAAAGTACTTAAAATTTACTACTTTTTAAAAAGAGATGAGGGATGGGCTGGTTTTATCCATGATAATCAAGGTATATTAGTCTGTAATGGCACAGAGCTAGAAGCACATAAGAGGTATTAAAAGAGAAGGTATAAAGGTCTGAGTCGGCATTTTAAAACAGAAATAACTTTTCCAAAAATGCATTTGAGAAAATAGAAACCATTAAGAAATGATGAAGAAGATAAAATTATTAATCACAAAGATACTAAGTGCCTTTTTTCCAATCCTATTTCTATATAGCAGAAATCAAGTCTGTATGCTGCTGCATGATAAGACTGTAATGGATGTAAGAAAAAAAAGGAACAAATGAAACACTGCTTGGAAACTCTGCCTACAAATAAATCAACAAATCCAAACTGTTTTCACCAGGGGAACTAGCAAACTAATTTGCAGTTACAGTGACATTAACTAGAACCAGAAAGTGTCTAAAGGCTGGAAAAGAGCATGAGGAGCTTTTAGGGGAGAACTCAAGTGCATCTGCTATTTGGTGGATTATATATTGGGATACATAATTTATGGAAATCAATAAATGTCTGGCAGGTAATGGAACAATAAGCAAAAGCACTTACAGGCTTCTAGCAAATTAATCTTGCCAAACTTTCATTGTTTTTCTTTCCTGAATAGTTGTATATCATTATAGAGAAAGCAGCAGTGTCCTAAGTTCAAAATAGTTCAGAGTGTAGTAATTCTCAATAGCAAAGTTGGACTGCTGAATACATATCAACCTTCAATGAATTTTCACCTTGACTAAAAGAAACTGATTTGACTCCTTAACTTTTTATTTGGGATATTTTGGAATTTGGAAAAAAAAATAACATACAACCCCTGTTCATCCTGTGTGAGGAAAGAGGGTATCAGGAGCAGCTCATCTTTCACACAGCTGTGAAAGGCTGGCAATTTTAATGAGTTCATAATTATTTGGTGCCTTTTTATATGGTAGGTGTTCTGCTTATGGGAGGTCTGTGGAAAGATATAATTGGAGAACCTAATGTATTAGGTTTCTTGGTCATAGAATACAAATGGTTTGGCTTGGAAGAGGCCTTAAAGGTCATCTAGTTCCTACCTCCTGGTTTATGTCTGCAAAGGTGCAAAAGTCTTTATTCACTTGTTTTTTTTTCTTCCGAAGTGTGCAGGAATGAGGATTTGAGTTACATCACACACTCAGTCAGAACATTTCTTATTTAAGAATGTTTGAGTTACATCACACATTCAGTCAGAACATTTCTTATTTAAGAATCATGTTAAATTTCTGTGCATTTTCTTTTTTTTTGGAAAGCAGTTTTTGTCAAAAGGGAACTTGGAGATAGGGCTTAAGTTGATGGTTTTTATATGATTTATTTGTTGTTGTTGTTTGTTTTAACAGAAAGCCATCCCCTTTTTTCTAGGAGAGAGAGAAAGAAGCTGGTAATGAAGCTGGCTAGCTTCATTATCTGAAGCTTTGTGTTAGTGATCTTAAACTGCTATAGTTCTTTATTTAGAGTAGAATTTTGGGAACCCGAAACTCCTTTAGCTTTGAAGCATTTAGTAGATTCAGTAAATGAGTACTTTTCATTTTAAGCATTGCATGTGGCATACTCATTTTTCAGGGTTTGCTATCTTGCTGTTGTGTGTGTTGCCAATCATTCTGGTTCTTGTGTTTCTGCATTTTGCTGGTTTGGCTCTGTAATATTCTTAGAAGTATTTAGTGAGCAGTAATAGATGTAAGTCACAGCTGAATATGCCTGCCTGTTGGATTTAGTTTTCCCACAGCAAGACTTCATGGCCTGGCGTGCTGAAATAGAAGCTTGCATACAGTTTCCTTGCTGAGGAGAAGAATAATGAAGTGCAAAACACATTCTGTTGCTATTAGCATTTCAAGTGGATTGAGCTATTCATTAGAAAAAGAGCGGGCTACAGCAATTAGGTTTTCTCCCTGTGCTCAGTTGACTTGTCATTTCCAAAAATGAGATGGACGTCTGTTTTGCAGAGGCTAATGTTTTGTTGATGGAAGAAATTATTAACTAAACTTGAAGCTGTAAACATGCATGGAATGGAGCATGCATGGCATGGGGCACAGTATAAGGCTGTAAAGAAATTCTTTAAAATTGCTATTAACTCCCTTAAGACTGTGTCACACACTGAACTGGTTAAAACACTCTTTGTGGCAAGCAGGAAGACAAAAAACCTTGGGATTTAATATTTTACTGCTCATTTTATATATGGGTGGAACCTCACTGCTGAGACAAGGATGGTCAGTGGACCATTTGGAGTAAAGAATTTACCCATTAATAGTCACTGTGCATCACTTCTACTTTTCAGCATGTAACATTTGCTGGATACTTTGTCTCTTAAACATCTCTGTATAAATGTGACCTCAAATGGGGAGCTTTAAATCCAACTGAATCTTCTGTTGTCCTTGGAGGATAAGGTATCTGACTCAAACTGTGTTTAACTATTAGAGTCAATATGGCAGAATGTCTTTTGAAGATGAAAAGGAAAGTATTTATCAGAGGACTTCATTTTATCTTTCATGGTACTGAATGCATTTTCAACTTAAGCACATTTTTCTGCTAGTTTTCCCAAAATACTGCCATGAAAATGCAGTGGAGTCTTTCCAGTCTGGGTGCTTTGGGACAGCAGTATTTTCAAGGAAACACATGCTACAAAAATGTGGTTGTCAATGCCAGCAGTATTCTTTGGGTGTAGGAACTGAATAGTTGTTCTGTTCTTCATTACATTTTAATGTATGCACTGACTGTTTTTCAGGAACTCCAGGAAAGAACTTAATGACATACGGTTTGAGTTTACTCCAGGCAGAGGTAAGGCTCCTGCAACTGAATTATTCTCTTACTGCTTAAAAAGGCATTTCAGAAATGGATTACTGCTTATGCTTAATGCAGACTGCCTCTCTGGAATGTTTCCTACTGTGCAGAGCTTTATACTGAACCTCAGTGGAGTAAGAATTGCAAATGTATGTAAATTCTAGTGGCAAGGTTGCATAATATATATATTAGAAAACTTTATTCACAGTATACTTTTATCAATTTCATGTCTTATTGAAATGATCTATATGGTATATATAAGATCTTGCCTAGCAATATTTTCATTTTCACATTTGGAAAACATCATACGAAATAGAATATAGTAGCCATAAAAGTGTATGTGGTGATGGTAGTAATATTTAAGTTTCTTTCCCTTTTATAATAAAAGACAGTCTATTAACAAGTATAAAGTGCACACCATTTTTCAAATGCTGTCTTCAGCTGAAAGTTTAGCTGTATCTCTAGCTTTGGTATTATCACCAGAAAGAAATTCTGGTATTGAAACTTTAAACTCTACTGCACACTTATAGAAATCTAGGCTTTCCAGTGCTAAGAGCTGTGAGAACTTGTACAGTTGCCTTTGTTTGAAAAAAATCAGGTATAACTGGGATGAAATGCACAGAAGGCTAATATTTTGAGTAAGAAGGTATCATCCTTGTTAAACTGCAACCCTTTGAACTATGAACCTATTTTATATTCCTTAGAAGTCAGTATTCACTTTATTTAGAGAAGCCTTCAAAGAGCTTTCACCTAAAATTAAATCCAGGTTGGAAGAGGTGTCTCTTTCACAGTAAGTCGCAGTATCTTTCATGTGCAGTAGTTCTGTGCATGGATTTATTCTCTGTTGTCTACCTGCTTTTCTCATTGATTTTGGCAATGAGTGAAAAAAGAGGTCTGTTACTTAATTGGGCACAGAACATTTTGGTTTGCCAAAATAATTACTTGGGAAGCAGTTACTTAAGCCATTTGAGAATTCCTACTTGGTCAAAAATAAGAGGATAGACAGGACTGTTCCTATAGTCAGTCACTGAGACAACCAGAAGGCAGCTGTGCCTCTCATCTCCAGAAACTGCAGCTGGCTCAGCTACCTTGCTTTTCACCTGTGCATGTTTCTTGAGGAAATTATAAAACTTTGTGTAACTGCCTCAAAGCATGAGCTCCATTAGGATGTTTGGTGCTGGGGCCAGATTACAGCTGAGATTTAGCTGGAATTTAAGCTTGTTCCTGCCTGCTTACATCTAAGCCTTCTAAGGTCTTTATCCAGGGCAAGTACTAGTCACAGGGACTTAGGAATTCACCCACGCAGGTACAGCAGTTAATAGGAAATCCATCCAAGCTTTGAATTTCCTGAGTCACAATACTTAAAAGCTGTTTAAAACCTAGATCTCAAAATAATCTCTGTTCATGTAAATCCTTTACACCACTTGTGACAAATCAGAAAGCCTACTCAATCACATCTCTGTCTAGATATGCAGAACAATGGAGGGCATAAAGAAAACAGTGAAAACCACACTAAAGCATAGTTTATTTTCTTGGTTGTGAAGGTACTGAACTTGCAAAATGTGTATGAGGATGTAGTTAAATAAGAGAGCAGTGCTGGTGGCCAGGAGAGGTCTGTAGGGGGTTTGCAATGAATCAAGTTGTTACCTTATGTGATTTGCTGTGCTGAGGCTGATAAGATAATTATCTTTTTTTTCCTCCTAATTAAAGATAATTTTGAATTCAATCCTGCCTCCATGGGTGTTTTGGAACTAAAATATATTTTTTGTTGAAGTGCATTGGATGACTGATACTTTTTGTTGTTTTTGTGGACTCTTACACTTATTCCTTTCACCTTTTGGACAGACACAGCAGATGGCGTTTCTCAGGAGCTCTTCTCTGCAGGCCTGGTTGATGGCCATGATGTAGTTATAGGTAAATTACATTTTTGTTTGTAATTATGCTCTTGTGACAAGTTTGTGTTAATGGATGTGAAAAAAAAATATTTTCTCTGATGCTGGTTTTCAGAAAATCTTTTTTGTCCTAATTTTGCTTTCATGTATGCATATTTCAATCAACAAGGCAATTTTGATATCAGTCCAAGAATTGCTTTTGGAAGTCAGATCTCTTGAGTGGTTTGAGAGGGGTGATATTATGTAGATCTCCTGAAGGATTATTGACAATTCTATGATTGAGCATTTTTGTGATAACTTCATTTTTTTGTGTAACAATAAAATGATTTGTCAGTAGGATATTGCAGAGTGTGCTTTGGCAACTCTGAAGTTCGTAAGTCTTCTGTTTGGGTTTATAGAAGGAGGAGTAAGACAGTGTTCGGGACTATGAAAATTGCATCTAATGATGTTATTTCTATGGTAAAAAAAAAAAAAAAAGAAAAGGTAATCAGAAATGTTTTCTGGTGGCTGAAAGATGCTTCTCTATTTTTCTATTCCAGGCTTGGTAATGTTTGATTTTTTTTTCTTTTACTTGAATTTTAGTGCTTCATAAAGATGATTAATTTGGAAGTGCTTATTTCTCTGTGTCTTCTTCCTTTCTTCTGGATGTTCAAGACCAGTAGATGTATAGTTACCAAAATGAGAGGGAATAGTATATGCTAGGTGAGGGAGAACTGAATTGAGGGATACAACCAAGTCAGTTTTGGTGTTGTGGTCAAAAAAATTCTTATCAGTAGGTTAAGATTTCCTTACCAAACTCCTCAGTGGTATGAGAGTGTTTCACAGCTCCAGAAGTTCATTACTTGCCAGGAAGATGATCTAAAATACATTCTCACTGCATTTGTAGTTAAACTCCTTCTGAGAGAAGCCAGTAATTCAGTACTTTTTGCTTTTTGATGATCAGAATACAGATTAACTCTAGCTGATCTAAGAACTAGAATTCTTATCTGATCTTTTACCTTTATTTCTGAAGAAAAAGTATTTTAGGGAGGCTTGCAGATGATCCAAGCTTTAGGCACTCTTAAAGTCACTTCTACTGCATAGTTATTTTAAGGGTTCAGGAAGAGGAGTTGCTTGGCCTTAGTTTGTTGTCGTTTAAACATCCAGTATGAAAAATGTCATTACCATAGTACTGATAATATTTCTGGCAGAATTTTCATTTAAAAAATAAGACTTTTTTTTTTTCTGGATAACAAAAGAATTGTTATTTGACTTCCTGGGCAGTCAGGTCTGACTGGCAGCTGGTGATGCTGCAGTGCAAGTCCTGCTGGGACCCAGTGAGAACTTTTCCCTTCTTCATTTTCCCTTTGCTGCAAAATTCTCTTTCAATGCAAAGTGCCAGTACTTCTGTGAAAATGGCAGCATGAATGGGATTTGTTATCACCTAGCAAGGTGGAGGAAATGCAAATGAAAATAGATGTCCCTCATGTGATAAATTCCCATCCCACAGTGATAGCATTTTGGTCCTTGAAGAAGCACAAATATTTAAACAAGATTTTCCCTATCAGGCTTGGTTAGAGACACTGTCTAGTTAGTGATAAAAGTTTACTTCTTGCTTAGTCCCTGTTTTGAATTACATCAGACTTTGATTTTTAGGATTATGATGGTTCCTTCTGTACTTTCATCTTTTATTGTTTTATCTTTTATTGTGGTACTAAAAAAATCTAAGGAAATAAAATTTCTTGTATGGAATGAAATGAATCAACTTGTATTTAATGTCAGTAATTTATTTTTAGTTTATATTAATCTTTATTTAGTTTATATGGTGGGTTTTTTATGATGTAACTTACCTCAAGCTCCAGAGGTGCAAATTCTCGAGTGAATTTGTATTATAATCTTGTGTCTGCTTCACCTGTGAAGTTTTCAGATATGTTTGGACATTGTTACCTTCCTAGAAAATTATTTCAGATTTCATATTTTATTGAAGGAAGATTTCTGCAAAATCTGATTTTGATTTTAATTAAGTAAAAAATTAAATTTGCACTTTGTTAGAATATTTCACTGTAACAGTGCAATCTTAAGAAGTGCTTTAGTTTAAAGCCAGAGGTCATATAAGAGAGCAGATGGTGCTTAAAATGTAAATCTGCTTACAAAATTAATTTTCTGTGTGAAATTATGTTAGCACCTCATTCACTCAAAAGGTTTAAAATCTTATATAGGAAGAAGAGAATAGTATAGAAAAGCAGGGTTAACCTTCTTTACTAGAAGAACTGATTCCACTATTTTCCAGATTGAAAGCATGTGATAAATTACCTTTCATTTTTTAGCTGAAGCAGGCAGAAATTCAGTCTCTGTAACCTGAATGAAAACAAGATTCTGAGATAGTCTCATGAAAGTTGTTCCTGTAGACTCTTTTCATGGATGTTAAAACATGTAGACTTGGACAAAAGAGGAAGGTGAAAATACATGTTGTTATGTTGAACTCAACAATTTGTTGGCATACTGGCCGATCTCCTGAAAGGACATTTAGATAGGAGTCAGCAGATGCTGTGGAAGTATGGCCATGGCATGTGTGAGCTGAAGCTGTTGGTGTATAGAATTTAAAAACATCAGCACGCTTCACCTTTTGAGTCTTGCTGGATTTGCTTCACTTAACACAGGCTTCCCAGGAAGATTTCCTTTCTGATGTACGTGAAGGTCAGCTGCCTGTTCTGCAGAAAAGGAGAAATCACAGCTTGATATTTGGTTTTGGCTCTGATTGGCTGATTTCTTTTCCTTTAGCATTGTTTCACAGAAGGTCCCTAGATCACGGGAATCAGCACAGAGATTTGTTCAAGAGCAGACTAGAGTTTGTGTTTGCAGAGGGGAATGAGCCTTGGAGCCAGTGGTGTCTTGAGGATGAGGGATTTTTATGCAGTACTGAAATATCTATCAGGTAAATCAGATCTGGAATATTTTCAAAATTTTTTTTGAGATAATATGTCTCTGTAGGTAATACACATATATTAGCTGGTAAATGTTCATCAGATAATGCTTCATTATAGTTTTGATACCATAAAGAAAACTCAAATCATATCAACAGTCAATTCTGTTAAAAATCATGTAATTGCAGTCCTACTCCGCTGGTATATACGATGTGCATTTAATTAAAATGAAGCCTCAGACTACAGTTAATTTTCTGGAGTCCTTGCTTAAATTTCAGAACCTGAAGGTGTATTTGTAGTTACTAAATTGCAGTATATACATAACAACCACCCCCTTCCCTTCCTGAATACTGCTTAAATAAAAGCTTGAATGTCCATGCCAGCAAGAACTGTCCAGTTGCCTTCTACTATATTAATGTACCTTTTAAAAGATTTTTTTTGTCAAAAAATTATCTCTGAATATGTTGAGCATCATGGAAGGATACACCTTCACTTTTAAATACATGTGACATAAACTACTGCTGAAAGTCTTTGTTGGAGATGTTTGAGATATCCACTTAATCCGAAGAAAAGCTTTTGGTCAGTTAAAAATAAAGCTTCCTGCTGAAAGACCTAATGTGTTTAGAAGAACCATCTGAAAACCCAACAGATTGTATTTTGTAATAAGGTTATATATTGAAAGTAGCAAGCTTTTTCATCAATATCTTGAATATTTTCGTATAAGTGTGAATACAATAGACACCATAATAGTTTGGTACAATTACTTTGTAAGTAAACAGAACTTAAATTAGCATCTGCATTTATAAAGAAAGCCCAGCATGGCTGTGGATAGGTTAATGACCATGAGTTCAGAGAACATGTATCTGACCAAATCCAGAATAATGTTATTTGAAGGGTTGCTAAACAGTCAGTAATATATATATATATAACATATTGTAGCAATGATATATAGTTACCAATTACTCACAGTAGTAAAGCATTTGAAATTGAAACAGCTGACTGTCTTACAGTGTGATGTCTGCTAATGCTGAAGGTACTTTGATACTAAAATGGAACGATGAAAAAGCACCAGCCCAGCTTGTTGGTACAGTTAGCTTATGTTGGCACCGATAATCCACATTCCTAGAAAAGCCATGGACTTAAACAGTAAATATCCTAGGTTTTGCTCTGCATTTGCTTATACCTAGTTTTACTTTGTCTTTTTAGATTAGTCATCTTTGAAACTGAATGAAGTGATGATTTTGTTTAACTAATTCCAACTCATCTTACTGCACTTAGGAGATGGGACAGAGCTGCACGAGTGGAAGACATGCTGCATGTGTTTTTGTGCACAAAGAGTAGGATGGGTGGCTAACTGGAATAACACTACCATTTGAAGGCACCTTAGGTTTGTCATGTAATATCAGTGATATTTTGAGGTGCACTGATTTTTGTAATATTTAGGAAATTTTTTAGAAATTTTCTTTGTTTTACTTGTGGTTCAAACCGAGTGAAATAACTGAATTTTTAGTTAAATGTATCACAGTTTTATTTATTCCAAAGCTCAGTGTACCCATAAACTTTGTAGTGAGAAAATGCCTTTATAGATTCTTTAGTTAAATGTATCACAGTTTTATTTATTCCAAAGCTCAGTACCCATAAACTTTGTAATGAGAAAATGCCTTTATAGATTCATAAAAATTAATTTCAAATAAATTAGAGAAATACTTTGTGTTTATTTTAATATATTATTCAGAAAGAAAACATATAGATTTAATGAAGACCTGACTGTATTTTAAGGCATTTTGTAGAAACCTATGTGCCTTCAACATGTGTACATAACTCAGTATCTCTTTAGCAAGATATGCAAATACATTACAAGTGGAAGAATATCTCTAAAATCCCTGGGGGCTTTAACAAGGACTTAAATATTTCAACACATCTGGCTCATTTGGAGCTAATGCACTGAAGGGTGACTCATAATGATGAGACTGCCAGGAGTTCTGGAAGCTTGAGGTACACCTGCAGCTAATGAATTTTGTGTCTAATTGCACCTACGTTATTTTAGACTTTCTATGTTGGATGTAAAAGGTGCACTGGAGGAAGTGTATTGTGTGAAGCTGGCAGGTTTCATGGAAGT